CTTTAGGGAGACTAGATACCTCTCTCATCCAGACAATCTGTCCTTTAAGATGTAGCTCATTACCTGGCAGCCATTTTAGCTTGCAGTTCTTTATGAAAGTAATTAAGACTCTGGACAGTTCTCAATTTAAGCTTTTCACTAGAATGTGGGGCAATGGGGCTGAAAGGGCAATCTCAGAAGCAGATGCAGATATAGAGGGCTGATTTTGAGCTCACACGGGAGTAGCTCCGTTGGAATCAATATACTGGGGGGAAAAATGAGCAGCTGGAAGTAAGGCCCAAGATGTTGGTGAGTGTGCAAGGTGTTTCTGAATGCAGTGTATAAAAGAGGCCTCTTGCTCCTTCCCCTGAAGGGCTCTGAGGATCAGCATCCTTCAGGAACGCAGTTATCGCTGTGGACAGTGAGATGAAGCAGCCCTGATGTCCCACATTATGAGCCCCGACTGTCTCTGTACAGGGACACTAATAGGGGAAGGCTCCGTGCCCCCAACACCTTTACATACCCAACCCTAGGCCAGCCACAATCTGGCTCCATCCCTAGTGGATGCCCCACTTTCCTTCTTTAGGGCCTGGGCCAGCACACAGCAATCTTAGAGGGCATCTTAGGCACTGGCATCCATTGCTGTGATGGCTCAACAGCAGCAGAGGAGGTTTAGATTGCTTTGAATAAGGCTCAATCCAATCCTTCTCCATATTTCAGGAATATCAACATTTGAGCAGAGATGCTTCTTAGGTGCAGGGACCCTCTCGTGAAGTCTCTGATACCCCTTACTTCCCTTTGGTTAGAAATGCCACACGGGCAATTTCTCTCTGTGGCATTTGCCCCGCTCCAGGAGTTGGGGAAGTTACCCGAATGCACACTTACGTTTAGCACGAGGCCCTGCAAGCCCCAGGACAATAATCCTACCCATTTCCCAATGTCCAAACAATCCCATTACGGGACCCCTGTGGCCTCCTTCCCTCATCCTTCAGAGAGGCAGGGCAGGGCATTCTACACACCGTCTCTCAAACTGTTTTGGGACAGGTTTATTCCTGTGTTGCTCCTAGTCCAGGCAATGAATTTCACTCTCCTTGCTACCCACCCCACGCTTGGGAGCAGTGTCCTGTAAACACCCACAGAGCCACCTCTGTATCCTTCTTAAAACTCTCCTTTTCCAAGATGCCTAAAACATAGTTAACAACTGTTCGGGCTACTGGTTCGCTGAGCCCATAGCCGATCACACCGACCAGCAATGTCTTCTTGCTTCCTTGTCCTTCTATCTGTCTATCAGTCTTGTCTTATGTGTAGACTGTAAGCCCTTCGGGGTTGTCACTTTGTCCTATGTTTGTACAGCATCTAGTAGAGTAGGATTCATGTCCAGGACCGAGCATCTTAGATAGTGGCTGATCTTCAAGATTGGTTAGCTAATCAAATACATAATGACATTGGGATCCCATTAATCAATAGTGAGGACTGAGTAGTATAGAGAGAGTAAGACCATCAGCTTTTGCTGAAGGACAAAACAAGGAGAACCACAGGGAAATCTTATAGTCACTCAAGGACCCGCCTTCCTGATCTTTTGTCACATTTTCCATTTGGTTAAAATGGCCAATATTCATCTCCAGCAGAATTCTCTCCATGAAGTTTCTGGGGCTGTGCCATTTCTGAAGCTGCCCTAACTAGGTCTATTTGCTCAAGAAGTTTTCATTACATTCCCAATCCTGTAAACATCACATACCGCAAGAATATACTTGTACAAAGGGCCTGGATTCTCTGCTTACAGTACATGGAAAATGAGAGTCGAATCCAAAGCTGTTCAGTGGGACACTCTTTACAAACATTTCTGGATACACCAAAATAGGAGACAGGGACAACAGCACTGAACATTCACATTGGGAATTTGCTACTGTAAGCCTGCTCAAGTTTGAGCCAAGTTTCCCCAGCAGCATTAACATGAAGGAAGGAAACACTCTGGTATTAAGGAATGCTTCTAGTTGCCATGACAATATACAAATTCCAAAAGATGTTAAAAGCAGATTTCAGGCAGAAATATTTAGCATTGCATCTAAGTGCAGGCCAGTAGATCAGAGTCAGAACTCATCTCTAATATAAGTGGGAGTAGCTTCTCCACTAGTTTAGACATTGAACTATTGTTCCTAATGCTTATTCAGCTACAAAAAGGGCCCATTTTTGGAAACAATTTTGTAAACACAGTAACCTTATATACCAGAAGATGTGCTTATAAACCTTTATCTCAAGACTGCCACAGTATCTCATTGCTCTTTTGTTCCACCTTTATTAGACAGTGCCTCTACTAAAAGCGAGCCACAAATTAGGTTTGTATTTTCCTTCTTTATTTTTTCCTCCATCAGTGGAGGAAAATTGGAAATGTATTCTTTCCTGCTTCTAACTTTTACATTAGGAATTAAGGTCTGTACTACACCGGTTTGCTGCAAGACTCCAGGGATGAATGGAGAACTAGTAATATAGCATGACAATGGAACAGCCTGATTAAGAGGGGAAATAAAAAAGATTTTTTAAGCATCTTTTGGGCTTTGTTTAATTATTGTTCCCATTTATTATATTCAAACAAGCAACAAGCCATGGGAGAAAGATTTTCTCCTTAAAGATTTAGCATGCCCACACTTCTACACTAGAACTACGAATGTTGCCCTGAATCCTTGAAGCTTACTTTCAGGACAAAAAAGGTTTGCATGTTGGAGGGGGTGGGGAGCAGGGGGGAAGATCAAATTGGATATTCCTGATATTTCTATGAGTCTAAAAACAAGTAGAGAAAAAGAGCAGAGAGGTTAGCCATGTTACTCTCAAGACTGGCAGACGGGTGGGCAGGGTGACACCAAACTAACAAGGTCCCTAGATGCTTTGCTGAAACATTTGCGTCCAAGGTGTCACCATCCCTACCTTCTGCCTAACTAGGGAAAAAGAAAATTTTTAAAGGCTAACAAGATCTTATAGCTGGACAACCTTCTTTTTGGAGATAAAAAGCCAAAAAGAGCAACAATTCTTTTGACTTCTCCAGGTTTGTCATGTTTAAGACACCAATTTTTGTCTTCAGTGAGCACCCACAGCACATCTTACCTTGGCTGAACTGAGCTTTCTTGTAGCTATAAAACCAGAACAGAGCCTTTCAATTTTGGGGCGGGGGGCGGCAACATCATTTAAACTGTTGTGAATAAAGTTTATCACTAATTAAGTTAACGGGCTGACCAATGACTGCAGTGCTCCTTGTCTAGAGCTCTCTGTTTCTTTTCTGCTTGGCAGCGTATCATGCCAAGTATCAGGATCCTGGACTCCTTTATGCTACACTGTGCCAACTTGAGCTCAGCAGCCCCTTCAACAGTTCTTCATCTGAGCACATTATTTCAACAGGATTTCATTTGCGGTGGCACCATCTTAAAAAAAATATTATGTTTGGGAAAGGCAAGAAAATCAAAAACACACCATTTATCTGATCTAGAACAAAAAGGGGGAGCACCTTGGCCCCATCCAAAACAGACGATATCAGATGGAATAATAACAACTTTCTTTTCACCCACAATACCAGAGAACCTACTGCAATATGTTCAGGGGGAAACAGTTCTGAGAAAAAAACAAGAGATCTCAACATCACTTCTTCCATGGGACTGACACCTCGACATTACTGGGGAATTTAACATCTGCTCCATAATTCATATAAAACGTGGTTATTTTCCACGCTTATTGATAGCGCAAAACCTAATACTATTAAAACAGAAATCACCAGCTGCTCCAGACTTTTGCCTCTTAAAAATGGATGATACGGGGTAAAATGAACACATACTGCTGAGAAGGTATTTGGTTGATTTTTTAATTGGATCTGAAGCCTTGCATTCAAATAGCACAAAAAGGGAACATTTTGGATACTCTCTCTCTGTCTTATTTGGGCAGCTGGATTGCTCCCCTTTCTTAACTATTTTTTCTTGACTTTTCTATTATTCTTTTGTATTCGGGTTTTTCTCCTATCCTTACCACCACCGTACGCGAGCACCTTCCCAGATTGCCGTAAGTGACAGGACTAACACTGGTCAGTGGGCAGTTTTTTTCTGCCCACTGGTGTCTATCTGACCCTAATACAATTCTTAGTGCCCTCACTTTTATAGGCAACACCTACACATTCTCCTGGTACAACAGGACTTGCTCTTCTCACTCTGCTGACCCACAGCTGTCCTTTTCCTCTATACCACTTTTTGGCTTCATTATGTTAACTCCCACATGAGAAATACTTAATAACCCGACTTGTTCATCTCACTGTTGGCAGGTGGTATTGTCTAGACTACAATTGCATTGCAGCACAGGAACAATCATCTGACAAAATGGGTCTGATTATAACCTTGTACCAGCTTCACAACAGCACATCTCCATTTGGTTCAATGGTGCTGATGCACATGAGGGCAAGCAAAACCAGAAGCAATCCTTGATGGATTTCCCTGGCCGACACATAGCAAAAACATTACTATATCGTCATGGACCTGGATCACATGAGACACGTGT